CTGTAATTTATTTTCAGAACATAATTCTATTTATAAATGAAAATCCTATTAAAAGAAGACAAGAAAAATTAGTCCTCGACTTTGCATTGGTAGAGTAGAAACAAAATGAGCGGCCTAACCTGAAGTGACATTTACAAATTACCTGTTAATTTAAACTGGGTTGAAGGATGACAGAGTTTAGTCAGACTGACAGGAAGTACCGAAGGACTGACAGTTGGGCCTGTAGTGGTCATAGTGCTCCCGTAGTGTGCACATTTATCTGTGTGCGAGGACAGGGGGAGAGATTTCTGTAAAGTAATATATTTGTAAAAAAAAATTACTCCTGGAAACCAGGTTTTCATAGAACGGTGATCTCCTCTCCCAGGCTGTCTGCAGAAATATATGGTTGGTGTTGTTTATTTTAATAACTTGTTAATATTGATCATGTGACTAGAACTTCTTAGTGCCCAAAGGTGGAAAATCACAGTTATTTTCCTTGTGATACTGAAATGTGAAGTGACAAGGCTTGCATCTTGGAATGGCTTCAGGATATCGCTTCTGCCCCAAGACAAGATCCATTGTTCTCCAGATGTGTTTACAGATTGAGGCCACACTTGGACAAATGTAGCTGTCACCTTTTCTTTTCTCCTGCTTTTAAACAACATTCTTAAAGGTTTTTTCTTAGCCTTCATATGTTCTGGGAATCTCTAGTTGACATGTGTTTACTAATTCCTTCCCCATCAATATGGCTCACATTTTAGACAGACATAAAATTTTACCTCCTACTTGAATGCCTTTGTTCTGATTTGGAGCTCCAGATGTGCTTGAATCCATGCATGAAGCTTCACTATTCCCTAGAATGTATGAAGCAGGTCTGTTACTTATGCTGACTTAACCACTTTTTCAAGAAGTCACACAAGGAAACATCCTACACAATCATGTAATTGCTGTATGGATATTCCCAGGCAACATCCATCATGCATCAGGCAGCTGGAGAAAGACATTGGGCAACCACTGAATGAAATTAGATTTATTTTTATTTGGACATGTCAGATTACGCATGTCAGGCAATGTGGGGTGTGGGACAACAGGTTCACCACACACCCTGCCAGAACCCAAAGGGTTTGCCGCCATGTGTAGTGAATCCCTCACTTAATGTGATAAAGTCCTTCATTTCTTAGTTTCAATGCCTATATCAGACAGATACGTCAAACAATCACTGACTTCCTGTTCATTGTAAGTGGGACTTAACAATATATTGGCTAGAGATCCACTTTGATTGTCACAAATGGCTAAACATAACTACAAAAATGTATCTTCACAGACAAGTAATCTCCAGATCAAAAGGTTTTCCAAGACATTACAAATTGGGATGCTGGGAAATGATGTTTGCAGTTAACTCTTGGTTATGGTTGTGGCAGGATCCAAAGGTATATCTCCAGCTGCCTGTTCTCAAGGAACTCTGAGGCCAGGAGTTTGCTGTGGATGTCATTTCCCAATGTTCCTATCTCCAGCACTTCAGAAATACTTCTATTGGAGTATTGCAAGGCCTCAAAGATGCATTGTTGAGACTCTGTCATCATATTTATGAACAGAAGAGGGTCTTAGCCATTTTTTAAAAAAAAATCATGCTTGGACTTGTGGCACAGAGGGCTTAATAACTCATTGAAAGATATGAGGAAGCCCTTGCTAACTGGGATGGGGAGATTAAGACAATGCCACAGGACAGGGCTTTCTCTATATAGTAGCATCTTGATTTTTGAATTCCATTCCAAATAAAGTCAAGCTGGCTCCATCTGAAATAAAGCCAACTCTGATTCTCAGCTTGTATAACCCCAAATCCTTAACACAGATCCCAAAGCTCTTCTATTTTCTAAAGGTATTGGATTCCTATGGGAACACAGCTCAAGCAATGCATACCTGCCAACATTTCACATATGAAAACCAGGACCCACCTGGCCAAACAACATTAAAGTATGATCAAGATGGCACAAATTACTCATACCTACAATGATCCTTTATGTTATGAAGATATAATAGCAGATGTTGCAACAGATTATAGCTTGAACTATCCACCACACAAAACTACAGTTCAACATAGTCACCATCAATTCGTACACATTTGTGCCATTGTTTTACCCAGGCACCATGGGTAAAAAATCATGATCCATGATTTTAAAGCTTTTTTAATGTGATTGAGTGTCAGAAAACACAGAGAAGTCAGAGGTCATCTGAAAGACAACCTACGTGGTTTCAGGTTCAATTACTTGAATGACATTAAAACAGATTTAAAATCATGGGTCATGAAGCAAAACCCTGAATTTTTCCAAAATGGTTTTGATGCCTGAGTTAAATGATGGTGCTAATATATTTGATAGTGACAATATTGAATTGATAGTGACAATATTGAATGGTAGTTTTGTGTACAGCAGTAGTTCTCAACCTGTGGGTCCCCAAGCGTCTGCCTTTTCTAGATGTCCTAGTCATCCGCAAACCAGATCAACAATTGGGTCACACCGTCTACAGAAAACCCACACACACAGATAGATATCTACATAAAAACTCCAACCATCACCCAAGTCAAAAAAGAAGCACCATTAAAGCCTTGGCAGACCGTGCAAAAAGAATCTGCGAACCCCACCTCCTCCAAGATGAACTGAACCACCTCAACTGGGCTCTCCAGGCCAATGGATACTCCACCTCAGACATCAGAAGAGCTGCAAGACCAAGAACAAGCCACGAGAGTAAAGATGAAGATCCACCCAGAGGAAAAGTGTTCCTGCCATACATCAAGGGAACCACTGACCGCATAGGGAAGCTGATGAGGAAACACAACATACAAACAATCTACAGACCCACCAAGAAAATCCAACAAATGCTACGTTCAGCAAAGGACAAGAGGGATCCTCTCACCTCTGCAGGAGTCTCCCGTATACCATGCAGCTGTGGACAAGTCTACATAGGGACCACCAAACGCAGCGCCCAAACACGAATCAAGGAACATGAAAGGCACTGCAGACTACTTCAACCAGAGAAGTCAGCCATAGCAGAGCACCTGATGAACCAGCCTGGACACAGCATATTATTTGAGAACACAGAAATGCTGGACCACTCTCACAACCACCATGTCAGACTACACAGAGAAGCCATTGAAATCCACAAGCATGTGGACAATTTCAACAGAAAGGAGGAAACCATGAAAATGAACAAAATCTGGCTACCAGTATTTAAAAAAACCTCTAAAATTACAACAGCAAAACAAGAGGGGAAACAATCAGGCACATAATCACCAAAAGATTGCCCCGCACTGCCAGGCATCAAATGCTAATCAAGGTGGTCAGTTGAAACATTCACACCTAGCTCCTGCAGACAAGAGTCCTTTGTCCCACCCTGGTCATTCCACAGATATATACAACCCAATTTTCCTAGTTCCAACAGACCTCACTACCTCTAAGGATGCTTGCCATGGATGCAGGCGAAATGTCAGGAGAAAACGCCTCTAGAACATGGCCATATAGCCCGAAAAAAACCCACAAGAACCTGTAAAATTACTAATAATCGACAATACAATGTAAATGATGGCGCAAATCTGAGGTCATTTTTGGAATTATAATGGCAAATTTCTTTAAGACTAGTGACATTTCTTTAAAAAAGTTGTTATGGCCCTTTATTTTGCAGACCTGTGTTATTAATAAGGAAGATCAGAAATGCTTGGAGAGATTGCAGCAGGTTTTTTTTTCTGAGCCTACTGGGAAAAGCAAAACGACATCCCCTGCTTTCTCCCCCTACTGTGTTAGAATGCAAATACTTTGATATTTTGAAGTATGTTTGCAGAAATTGAAGATGAAAGAGAAAGGAAGGAGGAGAAAGAAACTGGGACATTTTAAAAGCAGCTCAAAAACAACAGGTTCCAAAGGATTAAGCAGCACTGTCCCTACTAAATTAGGATATTAGCAGAGAATGAAAATGCCCCTGATTAGCAAAACTTCTGCTATGGCTTTAAAGGCTAGGGTTTGAGTGAGATAGCACATGTGGCCAAATGAGCATTCGCAGACTCAGGAAACAGAAATTACCAGAAACACAAAGGAGGACTGGATTTCTTTACACCTCCCACAGGGAAAGTCAAACCACGTCCATCATTACTGATGTTCCAGTGAGCCATCAAAGTTGCATTCTTCTGTCTAGCTTTTGGATTTCAAAATTGGATTTTAAAGTGCTTTTTAATCTGTTGGGGAAAGGATGTTTTTTATATATTTTATTGTCCATCATTTTGTGGGCCCCACTGGGCAGAAAAGCAATTAATACTTTTTAATGAAGAAATATGGCAGCTATTGCATGGTTAATTCTGTCGTATTAAAGAATTGTGTGATACAAGCAAGTCGTGGCACATGCTTTATGCGGTTTTAAAAAATGCTTTCCATGTGAGTTTTCTAATGCATATCCATAAAGTCAGTAAAGCAAATGTTCATGCTTCGTTTGAAATGAGCACCAAATCACGCCAATGCCAGCTATGAATGAAATGAAGACTGGGATATACTGTGCCTACTGGTATTGCAAGTAGAAAAAATGTTTGGGATCCAAGGCCATTTTCCACCTCCAAGATCCACTGCAGGTTGCACCACAGCCAAAAAAGCATGTGTGGTGAAGGAGGTTCCACTGAAAAACAGAACAACAGAACCAGAAATTCATTTCCTGTTTCCTAAAATGTGTTTTAAAGCAAAATTGTTTCCCCTGCATGGTTCCAGGAGCATGGAATCATGCTCGCTTTTCCAACCTTTGTTCATCCAACGTTCTGTATTATCCAACGTAATCTGCCTCTCGCTCAGATCCATTGCTGTTTCAATACATTGCAATGTTTTGGTGCTAAATTTATAAATGGGACTCTCCACTCCAACAAGTTGGGGGGGAGAGCGATTTGCCCCACCCCCTGAAGATAGAGAAAGGGAGGTTCCTGTTAGAACCTCCGAGAAGAAGGGCGGGGCTGGCCTACCACGTGAGCCAGCCTCCGTCCTTCAGTCTTGTCAGACCTTTCGAAGAGACAAGACGTGTTGCTGCTGGCTGCTCCAGGTCGGTGTTGGAGCAGCTGGGGGAGGGGGGCACTGCTGCTCCCTCTCCTCAGGAGCCCGGAGGCCATCCGTCGGGCAAGGGTTCGGCGGCTGCCGGTTCCCTCGCCGTCTTTTCTCGCGCCGGGAGGGCAGTTGCGGCACCGTTTTTTCCCCCTTTTTCGGCGGCGCGGACGCCGCGGCTGTGGGCCGCTTTCGGCGGCCTAGGGTGCCGATCGTCCCTCTCCTGGCCCTGGCGCGGGTCGGGGGGACGGGGGCGCCACAGCGACGGGCCGCTTTGAGCGGCCTAGAGTGCCAGTCGTCCTGGGTGCCACTCGTTCTGGCCTTGGCGGGACTCGGGAGGCGCGGCGCGAGTGGGGGGGCCCGGGTCGCTGCCGCCTGGATGGGGACTCATTGTTTTTCTGCCAGCCCCTTTTCTGGGCAGTCGGGATGGAGCGCGCGGTGCGGCGTCGCGGCCGCGTGCTCCGGACGTTTTTTGCCCTATGGGCGACGTTTATTTGGGGATAGGGCCTGGGGAGGCTCCGTGATTTGGTAGCGCCATTTTAGTCGGTGTTTGGCGGCAACGGCCGCCATCTTGGGGCGGTAGTGCTGATGGCGGCCGCCATTGTGTTGTGTCTGTTGGGGCGTTTGAGTTGGGGGAGCGTTTCTCGCCCCCTTCTTGTAGCTCCAGCGCTGGACACGCGGCGAGGCGAGTGGCGCGGCCGCCGCTTGTTTTAAGCGTCTCACCCAAGGCGCTTGCTGGCGGTTCGGCCGGGTGCCTATTTTTATGTGCAGCCGCCATCTTGGGAGCGCGGTGGTTGGTTAGCTGCGCTTGCGGTCGCCATTTTGGTGGTGGCATGGCTGCAGCCGCCATGTTGGAAAGCGTTTGTGACGCAGTTGAATTTTGGCCCAGGGGAAAAGGGTATCTTTCCCCTGTGCCAGTAGTGGTCCCTGGTCACTATTGGATTAAGGTATTATTGTTAATGCAGCCCGAGCCTTCTTCCATTAGGATATCGGGACTATAGATGTGTATTTATATAATAATGAATAAAAAAAAATTAGGAGTAAAGGGGGAGCATGCCAAGGGAATGAGGGTGTATACAAGTGTATATGTACTGTGTAGATATATCATCCTCTCCGCATTTCAAGTGTATACACCATCCCCTCCCCATTTCTGTAAGGAGGCAATCACACCTTTCTCTTGGGTATGAGTTCAAGATGTTTATTGCATTTGCGCGTTATTAGCGTCCCTTTCAACGCTTTGATTCTATTTGCCATGTGGGTTGTTGTGGCGCAGGGATGTGAGGGCTAAGGGATGGGGCCTCCTTTTCCAACTCTTTGATTCTATAATGCTTTGGAGCATGGTTAGGAAGACGTATGGATGGACACAAGGTGTCCCTTTCAGCTCTTTGATTCTAAGCTTAGGTGGTGCTGAAGGAGCCATTCTGCACCAAAGGATAGATTGTATAGGCGAGGCCGTTGGGGCAATAATGGGCGCTGTGCGGAGCTGGTTCTCACGGTTTCTCTACCCCTCCTTCCTTTTATTGTAGAAGATGCCATCACGGAAGAACAGGGGGGGCCCTAAAGGGAAGGGTCCCGCTGAGAAGACGGGTAACAAGCGCCCCCTGCGGCTGGATGGGTCGTCGTCGGATGAAGATGGGGTGTCCATGGAAGATTTGGAGGCCCTTCTCCAGCGCGTCAATCAGATTGAGCAAAATAGGGGGGTTGGGCTGGGAAGGGCCGGTTTGGACACTACTCGCAGGGCAAGTAAGAAACAGATGTTTAAGTCTCTTTTGTCCCGGGTTTCTTTTATAGAAGCGACCTCAGTTGCTGGGGCGGATAGGGCGGCTCGGCTTCCTGACCACCAGGCTGTTCCAGAGGCCACGGAAGGTGCTGCTGAAGTGTCGGCTGTGCAAACCATCCCTAGCATGGAAGCGCCTCCCTCGGTCCAGGCTTCGTCCGGCTCCTCGGCGGCTGCTGTGGCCGGACCTAGTCAGCCCGCAGCATTGGCCTCCGCGCCCGGTGCTGCGGCCAGGTCCACACAGTCGGTGGGGTCAACCGTCAGTGCTGTTGATACATCAGGGAGTGGGCAGTTGGTGACGGCTGTCACAGCAGGTACTTCCACCACACCAACATCTGCACACACTTCCACCTCACTCACATGGCCCTGGGATCAGGGGCGGGCTCAACCTGCTGCAGGGGTCCAATCTTATGCGGTGGTTGGGGTTCAGCCCGCGGGTGGGGCAGAACCCGGTTCAGGAGAGGGGAAGGACGATGCCGCGGGGCATTTGGTCAAACCGGCCGCGGTCACATTGGAGTCTGCCCGTACTGGGGAGGCAAGCAAATTTTGGGGTACGGCAAAATGGCCACCACAGGCGACGCCTACCGTTAGTTTGTCAGGTTTAGGTTCACATTTGGCGTCCAAAACAATGGAGAAGATTTTGAGGAATGAGTACATTGATATTTTTTCTCTATATTTTCGGGATATGGATAAGAAAGAAAAGGATGACTTAGATGAGGAAAGTAAGGAGAAAATGAAGAAACGCAAGGTTGAGCAGAACTGGGAGAACTGGCTCCCTTGTTTCACTATGTACGCCAACTTGCTTTCTGATGCTGCCCCAGAGAGGGCTACGGCCTTGTGGCAGTATCAGAATATTATTAACAAGGCTTATGTCAGTGGCCCGCCCAACGCTTGGCTGGAATACGATCGGAGGTTTAGAACCGAGGCGGCTTGCCATCCGGACAAGCGTTGGGATCTGATAGATGATCAAATTTGGATTGAAGTGATGAATTCGTCTAGGGCTCATTCCGCTTTGAAAGCTGACAGTGGGCATACTATTCAGAACAGAGCGGGGCAGCCCTTTCGGCAGGGGGCTCCCCAGCTGCAGTCCCAGCGACAAAAGCCCCTTTGCTGGGAATTCGTGGCTCAGGGAGCCTGTTCACGAAAGGGATGTCGATATGCTCACTCGTGCTCAATTTGTTATGGCACGCACCCGTCCAGAAATTGTCCCAAAGGGAGGGCAGCGAGAGGTAACCCTAGGGACAATCAATTTGGTAAAAAGCCCTCAGGGCAGGCCTCAGTTCCAAAAGGGCCCCAGCCCAATTAAGTTAGATCAGTTGAAAGTCTGGTTAGATAAGTACCCGAATAGGGGGTCAGCGAAATACCTATGGGAAGGTTTTTTGGAGGGTTTTCGGATTCCGGCGTTGGGTCCCCGATTTCACACTTCATCCCCAAATTTAAAATCAGTTATTGGTATGGAGGAGTTGGTGCAGCGCAAAATTGATAAGGAAGTTTCAGAGGGGAGGGTTTTAGGCCCATTCACGGCGCCACCAACGCCGTTGTTGCGCGTATCACCTTTGGGGATAGTCCCAAAGAAAACGCAGGGGGAATATCGCCTCATTCATCACTTGTCCTATCCTAAGGGCAGGTCGGTGAATGATGCAATTCCTGAGGAGCAATGTTCTGTTCATTATGCATCGTTTGATTCGGCCGTGCAGCTGGTCCGGCGGTTTGGGCTTGGGGCAGAGCTGGCTAAATGCGACATTAAGTCGGCATTTCGTTTGCTTCCAGTCCATCCGGCGGATTTTGAGCTGCTGGGTTTTCAATTCGGGGGTTTTTTCTACATGGACAGAGCACTTCCCATGGGGTGCTCCATTTCTTGTGCGGCCTTTGAACAATTTAGCACCTTCCTAGATTGGGCAGTTAGGACCAAATCCGGGATGTCTGGAGTCACCCATTATTTGGATGATTTCTTGTTTGTAGGGCGTTCCGGGTCGGGTAATTGCAGGAGGTTGCTGGAGTCATTTCAAGGGCTAGCACTGGAATTAGGTGTTCCCTTGGCGGAAGAAAAAACGGAAGGCCCGTCAGCAATTTTGACTTTTCTGGGGATTGAAATGGATACGGTTCAGCAATATTCCAGGCTGCCTCCTAATAAAGTGGCAGACTTGACGGCCAGGGTTCAACAGTTTTTGTGGCTTAGGAAGGCCACTTTAAAAGAATTTCAGGAGTTAATTGGCCATTTAAATTTTGCCTGTAGGGTTGTTGCCCCAGGGAGGGCTTTTCTACGTAGGCTATGTAATGCCATAGCTGGAGTGAAAATGCCCCATCATAGGATTAGGGTTAATCGGTCAGTTAAGGAGGACCTGTCCATTTGGCTGGAATTTTTGGAAGGTTTTAACGGTGTTTCATTTTGGAGGCAGGAGTTAAGGCTGCAGGACGCTCTTAAAGTAGCGTCCGATGCGTCAGGTGCAGTTGGCTTTGGGGTGTTTTTTCAGGGACACTGGTGTGCCGAAGTCTGGCCGGACAGTTGGCACGCGCAGGGGATTACGGCTGATTTAACGTTTTTAGAATTTTTTCCCATACTTGTAGCTGTTACAATTTGGGTCGAGGCCTTTGCCAATTCGACAGTTCATTTTTGGTGCGATAAACTTGCCACCGTTCAGGTTATTAATACTTTGACATCAAAATCTAATAGGGTGATGAGGACGCTCAGGCAGTTCACATTGCATTGCTTGAGGTATAACATTTTGTTTAAAGCCTTTCACATAGCGGGAATAGACAATTCTTTGGCTGAC